TCAAGCTTGCATAATTCGCCGACACCTCACGTCGAAAACCCTAGGATGAAAATGCCCTAGGTGGGTGAGCATGAGAGTGCAATGGCTTGGAGGGATAGTTAGTGTGCCATCAGCCCATGTGACGTTGGGATGACATTCATCTTTGATATTCTCCTATCCCTCGAAGGACAGGGAGTGCATGTTCACTTGCCCCTTGAAGCACAGGGAACGATAGCGTGTCTACTTCTTTGCCACTCTCTTGTCCCTCGAAGGGCAGGGAGTGCCAAAGAGGGGCAACTGTAGACACCCACTTTAAATATGGCAAGTTCTGTGGTTTTCTTAGACCCTTAGGATCAAATTGGCCGAGTAAACCCAAAATCCATAGGTCACACAATTTACCCTGTGAGCCGGAACCATTCTGCCAGCCCAAAACCCAGCAGATGCCTGTTTTGACCCGGAATCATGTAAACACGTTTTTTTACAAAAAAAATCATTGAAAATAGTAAAACAATCTGTTTTGACCCAAATTTTCTCTGAGAGCTTCACAAGAGGCTGAGGAACACACTTGGAAAAAAAAAATTCAATTTGGATAAGTTTTGGTTTGGACGACACAGGGCATGCCTCCCAGACACGTTTTTCCAAACATTTTTTTATCATTTTTCATGTTTTTATGGTCATCTTTTAGATGGTTTGGCCAAGTGATGCTATCCGCGTTGGTCAAATCCGAATTTTAAAAAATAAAAGATTGGTTTGACCAAGCGATTTGTTCGTTACGGGATAACTCTGCCCCAACAAATCCTTCGTTCAGATGAACTCACTTTGGGTGACCATAAAATGATGAAAAGGCATCACAGGTAGAAAAAAAAAAGGGGGAGGGACAAGACTTTTGAAAAACTTTAGGCTGGAAGATAAACCCTGGGAGAGTAGAGAGACCTTCCTTAAGAAAACCCTAACCCTCATCTTAAGCCTGAGTAAACCTAGACCTAGGGTACAACAACCCTAGATCTAAACCATTTCTAGGGCACAACCACCCTACTACTACCAGAAACTTGCTGATCGACATCTGGACCACAAGGGCAAAAGGAACCGGTTCTGATACGGGCGAGCCCTCGAAGGCTCGGGAGAACCTGGCCATCCGGCCCAGTTTGGTATCGTTTTCTTCCTTTGTTTTACTATTTTAATTTTGTTTTACTATTTTAATTTTGTTTTGATCTTATTTTGATTAGTTTTCTTTTAAAAAATCGTATTTTTGATGCCTTGGATCACGCTGGCTCCGCCACATATCTGAGAGCAGATCTGCTTGTTTTTTGGTAGATCTGATCTCAGATTTGAATTCGATCATTTCCACTTTTCCTACCATTGCTTTTTCATTTATTTTTAATCTAAGAGATCTACATCATTAGATCGCTCGATTTTGCGCTATAAACATTACCACGCAAGGCAGTAAGTGCATTTAAATATCAACAATACTAAAAATGAGCAAAATAAGTATTCTATATTTATTTTTTATTTTTTTTCTAACCCCTTTTTTTTTTTTTAATAGAGATATTAGCAATATATAACACAATAAAATAGTAAAATATGCATTCAGAGATGTGATATATGTTCATAATGACTATATCTCTGTAACAGATAATCCACCATAAAAATATTTAACAACGATGCGATATAAGTGTGATTTAATGGTGGGATTGCAATGAATTACATGCAACTATTATGTGAGGTTGGGGCCCTACCAAAAGTTAAATACTTTCTTACATTAAAAGATATGGCTGCTGCCCATCAAGCAATCTCTTAAATTATGATATATATGTTATTACTTAGTGACAACATAATATATGGGCTTCCCTGAAGATAAGCTTGAATATATATGGATCTAATACCAGATAAGTGTGAGCAATGATACGATAGAGGGATTCAAAGGGCAAATACGTGCTTTTGAATAGGAAGTAGGTCTTCTATGCCAAAAAAAACTTAGAGAGAGAGAAAGTTCTTGATTAACAGAGAAATAAAACTATAGCCAACTTTTATGGTGGAGAAAGAAACGGGGCTAGTTTGCTCATAAAGACTAGGGTCTTTTTCTTTTAACGAAATTTACAGCAAGATGCAAGGCACAATTTTTTGCATTTTATCAGAACCAAGTTTGCTATATATATATATATATATATATATAATAAACAACCAAACAATATGGAAGATGAAACATGAATGCTCTAATACCAATGTTAGTAAAAATTGATGGAGCGCGTATGAGACTAAATCCGAGATCGGAGAAGGGGTACCGTGAGGCTGGTGATCCTAGAGTCTGGCTTTTTTGGGTTAGGAACCCTTGTTGCTTACCTTTTCAAGAGAGAAAAAAAAAAAAAGATGTGTTTACAGAGGAAGCGATGTATCCCTTTTACCTTTTTTTTTTTTTTTTTTCCACTTCCTCTCTCTCTCTCTGGCTTCCTATTTTATAGGGAGAAGGAAGGGCTAACCGTTATATTTCTCCAACGGGTCTTTAAGAAAAAAAAAAAGAGTTTCCTTGATCTCAAAGATATTCATCCAACGTTCAGATGGACATTGGACCATATTAATGTTGGATATAATTTTTTGGATAATTATAATGAACATTGGATTCTCACAATTATAAGTTAAGACACTCAGGTCTCATAGCCATACGTGTCAACAAGAAGCCTCTTAAGTTTTTGCGATTTTGAACCCATTGAAATACAATAGATGTTATAAGATCACTTACGGAGTATGGGTTGGCCTCCCTACCTTCAAATGTCCTCAAGTTTCTTTCAGTCCAAAGGACCCAAATAGGTGTCTCCATTGACTCACGCCAAAAGAAGATGCCTGTTGCCAAGAAAGGACCCGAATAAAAAGGCTTTGAAGATTGACTATGGCACCACCCAAAACTACTGAGCAACTCGGACCAGAGTTGTGAGGTCACCTCACAGTGTAGAAATAGATGGGGTTTGGATCCTTCAGCCGACTTGCAGATAAGGCACCTATTGGAAACGGGTAAGCCCCTACGCTGCAATTTATTCACCACTATTCCTGGACTGTAGGAATAAGGCAGTCCCAATAAGTTTAGATTTTGCAAGGTTTCGAGCATTTGAGGTACAACCACAACACGTCCAATTGCTATTATGTCGCACCACATAAAATCAAGGTATTATTGGCATATTGAAGGTGCGAGATTAGTTGGGCTTTGGCTATTGGTCCATTTTTCTGTACTTGTGAATAGATCTACTAAAGACCTCAGCCACCAGAGTGAAAAAGAATGGGATAGAAGATCACCTTGGCAGGGACCCACAAAAAGAGGGAAATAGGCCCAAAAAAAAAAAAGGGTCCTGTGATCCATGTCCTCTAAATGGATCCGAATCCCATCTATGTCCGAATATTACGTAAGCAAAGCAAAACGAAAATTTAGTTTTAAGTGGTTTGGAGAAAAGGCATATTCTTCTTTCCCTCTTTAAATGTTAGACTTCTTGAACCAAAAGACGAGAGGGCCAGATGGGCCATAAGTGATGTAAGGTCTTTCATGCGTATCTCATATCATAGCCCACAAAGAGAGCCCTCGGACCTCAGGGATTTTTCTAGATAACAATACTTTCTATTTTTTACCTAAGTTCACAAGATGAGAGAGAGTCGCAGCAGCTGTGTGGGAATGGTTGGTGTCTAGTGCTAATAGGATTGGGCTGAGGCCAATGGAAGTCCTTGCTATATGGTCTCTACCTTTCTCGCCTCTGGGGATTAAACTCTGGAGGATTACCGTCGCCGCTGCGTTGTGGAATTTATGGAGGGAACGGAATTTGAGAACTTTTGAAGAGCTGTGGAATTTATGGAGGGTTGAATTTGAGAACTTTTGAAGAGCGTAACACAGACCTGCCTTCTTTTTTCACGACTAAACCTCTTGAAGGTTGGGTTAGGCTGAATTTTGACGGCAACATAAGGATTTGTTAGAATATAGACCAAGACGTATTTCCTATCTCAGGGTCTGGACAAACCCTCCTAAAGGTTGGGTTAAGCTGAATTTTGACGGCATCTCTGGTTTTGGGGTCTTCTCTGAAACCACCATGGGACGACAGTATTGTCTTATTTTGGGAGGTTGCACTGTTGTGAAATCAATAAAGCTAAGCTTTGGGCCCTGAAAATGGTATTATCTAGTTGGACCACTCCTTTTCTAGAGTAATCATCGAAGGAGACTCGGCTAATATGATTAGATGGTGCACTAACCTAGACTCCACTCCTTGGAAGATCTGTGGTGTTATGGATGAAATCCTGGTACTTTTTAGGGATTATGAAGTGATCTTGCATCATGTGGTCTGAGATTTTAACTCTAATGTTAATTTGCTGGCTAAGAGGGCCACGTCGTGATTGATGGTGGTCCTATCCCTTCTTCTTCTTCTTGTTTCTCTTCTTTGTTCCCCTGCTCTTTCTTTTATCTTCCCATGTTTAGCTTTTTTGGTTGCACCTTCATTATTTTATTGAAATCCCGCATTTTTTCAAAAGAAAATGAAAAAAAGATAGAGAAAAAAAATTAATGGAGGTCAAGGTTTACAAGATGAGAGTGAGAGATGGGACTCGAAGGAGGTTGAGAGAGAGAGGGATTCAAGGGTGAAAAAAAGTTAGAAACAGAAAATGAGCATTTCTTAAAATCACGGGATCACTAGAAAAATACAAAAATAATAGAGTTATAATTTATATAAGGTTATATGCCATTTCCTTGGATGGAGCCCATGGCTTTCTATTGATATAAAGGTTTATTTGGAATTATAATTACAGAAAAAGGGTACATGTCTTTTTTCCTTTTTTTTCTAATACAATTCTTCTTATCACTAGTTATTTTCACTTTCTATGGAATGTGCATCACTAAAGCAGAGTATCCTTTCTTTCCAAAAAAATTTTAACATTGAATTGTTTTCTTTCTTCTTACTAACATGAAAAGTACAACTACGCTAAACCTGAAGGGCATGACCACCATATACAATTTATCTAACATGAGTAGACAGCCAGAATCAACTGCAAAAGAGTTAGCAATATGTACATTTTTTTTTTTTTTTTTTATTTCATACAATACAAAGTAATATCATTTTACATTATTCTAAAACGATGCACGTCGTGCCATAGCGAATATCACCATTAAGAAATATTTATCCTTCATTTATCTGTTAATAAACATTAAATTGAGCAAGCAACTCAAAAAACAATTCTCCATGCATGATCATTCACTGTGTCCCTTCACGCCTAGTCTTTTGGATAGCTCTATGATGATACATTTCTTTTGTGATTCATCAATGGCCTCGGTGCGCCACTTCTTTGCCACCTCTTCAGCCTGCCCAAGTACACCCGAGTCAGTCAGACTTTAAAAAAGTGTGTGGTTTGCATAAGGTTGCGACCTTAACTATCAAAGTAAAGGTGTAACTCTAAACATTGTCATAAGATGCAATTTTGGTGCCGTAATTTTTTAGGATGGTGCAATAATATATTTTTATCTCTAATTATAAAATTTTAAACTCTAGAAACAGTTCAAATAAGCAAATCTATAAACACAAGAAAATTTTGAAAATAGACGGTTCAGATAATGTGTTACAAGATGCAACTTCAGACCTAAAATCTCTTTTTTCTCCATAATTATACATCTCTATGTCGGATCAATTAGATGTTTTTCCAACATCAAAATAACCTTTTTTGAAGGTTTTTAGAGGTGCACCTTAATTCTATATATTAAGGTGCAACCTTATATAAATAAAGTTTTTCCTTTAAAAAAAAACTGCAACTTCTTTCTCACACAAAGCCTAGTGTACCCAGGTTCTAAAAGGAATTAACTGCTCCCCAAGACCTTTGAATGTAGGCTGAAGAAGATCCCTCCCTCTTTCTCTGATATCCTCAACCTGTACAAAAATCAATTGCTTCTTAAATCTCTCAAGAATTAGAACAAGAAAGGTCATTCAAAGAGTTGTAATTTTCCTTTCTCTTTTTCTTTTGTAATCTCAAGAAGTTTTTCTTATACAGGGTAATGACTGCCAAACAACCCATAAGAGTACTAAATTGTTTTTTTTTTTTTGAGAATGTCGTACGAGTACTAAAAATTGTTAGACAGTTCAACTAAAACCATGAAGTTTCAGTAAAATATGTACACAAATATGACCATCGCATGAAAGACAAATTTTCAACACTTGATTGTTTTCATCCAAATTAATGGAACCTATATGAGCCATTGTTAAACATTTCAGATAAATTAACTGAGGTTTACCATCTGCAATATAATTTTATGTCATCACAAGCTGCATTTTATTCTACAACAATCCATATTGGAACAGAAAAACATAACATGACGCTTCATGTATGTTGATCATATCATTTCATCTGGCCTAGCAATGGACATGATAACTCAAGTGGTGTGATACAATGTAGGAAAAAGACAAAAAGGTATTTAGAGCAAGAGAGTTTAGTTCACTTGGGAATGGAATTCAGTAGCAATATACCAATCCACAGCAGAGAAAAACAAAATCCCAACACAGAGAGAGCTAAAATTATCAAAACACAAAAAGATATTTAGAGCAAGAGGGTTCAGTTCCCTTGGGAATGGAATTGAGTAGCAATATAACAATCCATGGGAAAGGGGCTGCGGTCATGGTGGTAGCACCCTCACACCTCGTCACCCTGTTGTGGTTTCCATTCCCACCACTAACACCACCCCACTAAGACCTTCAAAAAGCTAACTCCTAATCTACTCAAAAAACGGGTAGGGGCCTGTCATCCCCTTTGAATTACCCAAAAAAAAAAAAGGATCAAGTTCCATTGAGATGGCCTATCTCTAGCTAAGCCCCTAAGTATATTCACTTCAATTTTCCCATCACTTTGGGCCTGTAGGCACTACCATAGGTACCAATCTTGTAACATAAAGTCCTTGAAAGCTGAGAAATGATCATCCGTATCCGATGTAGGTACAGCCATCTCAGATGCATCAAATGTTCTCCAAAAAAATTAAAAAATTTGGAACACCAATTCATCACTACAAAAACTGAATCCATAACTCACAAGGTACTCTGAAAGCCAAGGATGACGTGAGCACTAACGTTGGCCCATGATGCACCCTTGATAGGAAGTGGGATGTAAAGGCTGCTATTTTATGATTGGCCCTTGGAGAGTTGACATATACGACAATGCTCCACACAGCCTCACATTTTGTTTCAGTTTCGGCTAGAAGTACTTTTTCTCCACGAAAAAAATGGTTTTGGAAATATCCAAACGTCCACCTGAGTCCCCACTATGCAATTCCATCATGAAGCTATCCCTAAATGATCCCTTGGGAATACATAGACGAATAGGATAAAACATAAATCCATCTTGCAACAGACTTGGATGTGGGATTATCGGTACCATGAACACATGCTTCCCATAGGGCTTAAAATAGGGATCCTCCTCCTCAATCAATTCAAACCTGATAAACTGGAGCACCAAGTACCTAGAAGTAAGGATTGACCTACTTAACGCATGAGTTAACTCTGTTCTGCACAGCTTAATGCTCGAGGACAAAGATGTATTTCTCGTAAGAGGGCCATCACTAAACATGTTAATGGCCAAGGTTCCTATGTGAACTCAAGTACCTAAGGGCTATGTGATCTGAATACAAAACAATCTCCCTAAGAGTAAAATAGTGCGGCCAATATTTAAGAGCTTGAACTACAGCATAAAATTCTACATCAGATGCTGTAATGTTTACAGAGAATATTATTCCATAACCATATCACACTCTCTTTGCTTTCAGTGCTGTTAGGACTCAGTGGGGGCTCAAAATATCACACACATCAGCTGTAAAATTTGCCTCTTGTGTCACCTTAACTTGATTAACTGCCTGTTCCTCGGTGCTTTTAATGTTTTCATCATGTGCTTCATTAGCTCTATGATCCACGTCAAAGCTATTATCTTCCACTTTGTTTAGCTAAATGGCCTGCTGGTCGAACATCTGCATCGGGCAAGCAAAATATCAATAATCCAGTTCTCCACAATTAAAGTACTGGCAACCATCTGCACCTTGCTCTTGTTCTGCCATTCCACGCCCTTAACATCTACCCCTTGAATAGGGTTGGATTAGTTAGCAGGTTGCAGGATGTTGGAGCTAGCACGCCCTGCACCAGAGGGCTTCCAAGATGAATTAGAAGCTCTTCTCCCCTGAGGTACGCCTTGTTGAAATTCTCTTCCGCTGATCCATCAGTGCCAACTAGTATGCGTCATCAACACATCATAGGGGATGTGATAACTTTTATCTTGCATTGCAGGATACAACCCCCTTTGTGTATAGGGCAACAGATTGTTCCACTGTTTCCTTATGATCATTGAAGATTAACCAGTTCCCGAAATTCCTCCGTGTACTCATGTATGGAACTAAGACCTGTCATAATTGGTGTTATAACCGAAATAGTATTTAGGCATTAATCATTTGGAAGAAACGTCCTCATCAAACAACCCTTTCCCAAGTTCTGATCTTATCTTTCCCAAGCTCCTCTCCCTCTCCACTTGCACTTGTTTCCACAATAAAAGTGCATGACTCTTTAATGTTAGCGCAACAAGCTTCAACTTCCAATTTTCCAGCAAATCTTTCCATGCAATGAACTGTTTAATACTCTCAATTCAACTCATCTGGAATTAGCTTCCCCATTGAATCCATAACTTCCACACACATCCTCAATGCCAGAATTAATCGATCCTCAATTCCCTGCTCTTGCGGATCTGAGTAGGCATCACTGTCATCTGCCTCTCATGCCAAATGTTGGCTTCCACATGAGGACGTATGCATTCATTCTATGGCTCATGAAAGTTTGCATTATCTTGCCCTTGATTAGGGTTTTGTTAAGCTTCTCAACACAACTATATGCATTAGTTGATCCAGTTGTGCTTTGATCCTCTGCATTGCTTCTTGCTATCCTCCTCTACCTTGGTCGCAAGTGCAGCCACGGCAATCAAATTATAAATCAGGCACAAAAATCAGGGTAAAACCGATAAAAGACATGTATTAGGAACATTTGCTTTGATACCAAATTTTATGTGATGCATGGTAGGCACAAGACGAAAGAAAAGTCTTTAGAGCAAGATAATTCCCAGTTCACTTACTTGGGAATGGAATTGAGTAGCAAGATCAAAATCCATAGCAGATAATAACAAAATCCAAGCACAAAAGATTGAGCAACAAACATTAAAAAGCTTAGTAACTTGAATTAGGGTTTGGAGCATAAATCTCCAGAAACCAAGAAACATCTATGTTCTAAAAAAAGTCATTCATAAACCCCTTATTTTATATGTCTAGAAACCCTAAAAACTTGCAATTTCTCCAAATATCTAACTTCCAGGATCCATTACCTGGGCCAAGGATAGGATTGTTCAAAATTGTTCAAAGTTGAAGCGCCAACCGGGTAAGGGTTAGATGGAAAATGAATTCAAAGAGGTAACCTGATTATGATATACACTACCCTCACATAGTTTGTTTGCATATGGATGACAATGGAATTACAAAGAAGAGCTTAATCATCTCTACACAATATATATATTCATGTGTACTATAAGCACACCAACTTATGGATTTATCTCTCAGTATACTCAATGATAAGCACTAGTGAATAGAAATATAAGACTTGTCGCAGGTAACATGCACTCCTTCACACTTCAAAATTGAAAAGAAATAAGACAGCATCGATAGATATCCACCTCAATACCAAATGACCAGCGACCATTGGAAAACCATGCCTTAATAAGATGAATTTATATCCAGCAGCTGATTAATATTTGATTATAGAGCCAGATTCATAATGCCATCAAACTGTCAAAAACTTTTGCTGCACTTAAAACTCCTGTTACTAGACTAACAGTTTTGCCAAGAATAATGGCGATCCAGTTTACTTACAGAGTGCAATTGTAGTTTGGAAGCCGCAACTGCCAATGTTAAAGTGGCGCTCCCAAAGACGAGAACTGTGGCAACAGCAAAAGCTTTTCCAACTACAAATAAAGATTTGCCATTAGAAGGGATAACAAAGTATAAATGTTGCAAAGAAGGGATAACACTTAGTATAAGAACAGTCTCATTTTAAGGTCACGAATCAATATCAGGATCCGAAGCATAAGATCTTCAAGTCAATACACATGATCCAAAATTCATAAGATACTATATCAACACGTGCTGATTCATAGTATTAACAGGAAACATAGTTTACAGTACTAAAAAAAAACAGGAAACATAGTTTACAGTTCAATTCTTGAAAATTGTCCAAAAGGAATATTTTGGTTTTTTGTGATATAATGAAATATAAAACACAAAGTTAACCATTCTCAAAAAATTGCCCAAAGGAAACAGCAACTAGGAATGAAGATAGCAGATGCCGAGAAATGATTGGAGATGAGTGGAAAATGTAAGGGAAATGAAAACTAAAAGAAAACTGAAATGAAAACTAAAAGAAAAGCTTGGTAATATTGCTTATTAAAATGTGATTACCCCCCTTTACCATTTTTTTCATTTGTAGTTCTTAAACAGGGGTTACTGGACTAACATCAAAGGAAAATGACCAGGAAATACTAAAACTTATCAGAAGGCTTTTAAGACAGTTAAAAGGCATCCAAGACCCAAGGAGGAAATCATAGGAGAACTCTGAGAAACACAAACGAAACACAGGGAAATGTAATTCAAGAGTTAAGGAACCGTATACTTTGGAAAACTGATCATTGAGATTTGACAAATTCTGATAATGCTTCCATAAGGGACATTCAATGATCATTGAGATTTGATGAAGTATGATCATGCATCCATAAGTGACATTCCTGTCTCTAAATGTGCCTCACCTTACAATGGTTCTCACTCAAGACTAAGTGACCTCAACAAGCCATATAATTTCACCAATTTAAGTTCGGTAACTTTGAAGTGTAAAGTCAATTAGTTAAAATAAAGACATACAAGTGAATGATTGAAAATGCAGTACTAGCACAACAAAGTACAAAGTACTTGTCAAGTAGTTTTAAACCACAGAAAATGAATAAATCATATGGTTCAGGAATTGGTTTTGGGTGCCAGATGGCAATGAAGAAAATGTTAAGAAGTTATCCAATGTGAACAAAGTCATAAAAAACAGGGATGCAGATCACATATTTCGAACAAATTTATTAAACGAACAATCAGAAAAGAGAGTGCAATATTACTTAAAAGCTGTACAAAACATGACCATGCCAGCTGGTATTGTATAGTTTAAGAGAATGAATAGTTGTTCTTACCTAGTTAACCTTAACAACAGGTATATGTAGTGGCTCAGTTAGTACATAAGGAACAAAAGGACATGTTGAAATTTTCCATGCGATCGAGGATCTCCAGTGTTATAAAGTGATGAGGGGATTACGACAGTAACACGGTAGGCATATCTTAAATGAAAATATTGTGAGTTAATGAACTTAAAATCATCCCAACTTTGAAGACATGCTATCCTGAATATTAGTTCTCCCCTCCACCCCATATAGACCAGTGCCAATTGCTTATGGAGTTCCACATTGGTTCTGTCAAAGAACAAAATGTGAAAGAGACACAGCTATGTGACCAAGGCTAATTTAACCAATATTTACACACTTCCAATGCATAAGTAGATACATTTCGTTTGTAATTATAAGCATGATGGAAAATCCAAATCTCCCTAATCAGTAATGAAAAACAAAAACAATTAAAAGAGAAAGGAGACAAATGGACAATGTAGGACACATTCACGACATTTATTTATCCTGAAGAATTTTCTAAACAGTCATATAAAGAATAGCCAATCAAGCTCAAGGAAATCTGACTTTTACCCTTGAAAACATATTGATTCATAAGGTTTTAATTCATTGAAAACATTGAACTGTCTAGACACAAATTGCATTCAAACAAGAAGAGAAATGATCAACTAAATCCTTTGACAGATATTTCACATATTCTACACCAGTACAATGCACATCAAGAAAGTCTTACAATGCACTACATGAAAAGATACAAAATGAAAAACACTCTATGCAATATAAAAATCTGTTCATTGTCAACATAATACACGAGAAATGGATTAGAACAAGTCAAAACATAGTTGTTGGTATCAGGACCTGGACCGAGAGCAGGGGATGATGAAAGGCCAGAACATACTTGTGGCTAAGAGCATTGTCCGTACAAAGCATATGTTAGGTATCGAGATCCCCAAACTTTAGAGATCAGGATAGCGAACAATTGGGATCTCGATCCCAACCTTTTAGGGATCTTGCTCCCGAATGTAAAGAGTATATATAGCCAAGGACGAGATATATACACTTTAAAATACGGATCTCTTTAGTTATGGCCAACAAGCAATACAACTATATTAAATGTATAGTTGCATTGCTAGTGGGTTGTAAATAAATAAAATCATCAAGTTTGTTGTTATCTTGGTCATTAAGGTGGAGATCAAGATTCCTAATAGTGGCGATCGAGATCCAAAAATTTAAAAATCAAGATCCCTTGAATATCTCTTTGCCACAGGGTCAGAGATAGTTTCCAGAGTAGGATCGCCACCTACATTAGGAGATCCCAACAACTATGAGCCAAAATATGTACTTGAAAGTAAATTTCTGCTTGTAAACACAAGGAATCCAAAAGAGGAGGGAAAAGAACATCCAGGAGAGGTCATCTCTTCCCTGGTAATTCTAGTATGCAAATATAGTCAAAACAAATAATGGAAAACTGCCGACAAGAATTTTTTAACTCCCAATGTGTGTAATATGGAAAAAGTAAAACACCAAAGATTGTTTTTTTTTTTTTTTTCATTATCAGGTAAATTTATTTTCTTAGGAGGACAAATAAAATATTTTTCTTTTTTTTTTTAATTTTCATTATCAAGTAAATGTACTTTCTTAGGACAACAACAATGATAAAATTACATACTTTGTGAAAATCCTTCAGCAGCATCTTTTATCTTCTAATTATCTATACGTGGAATCTTGTCACGCCGAACTTCATTGGCTGTAGAAGCTGAGAATGAGTGTTCATCATTGGGCAAGTTCCATCTGCATCCCACATCTCAAAAACATTCAGGGCGATGAAAACACAAATCTTACCAAAAAGATGGATCACAGTCAAGCAAATCAACAAGATAATCCTTCGAAGCATAATTTAATCAGACCTTGAAAAAGCAATAATTCATATAGAAATAGATGCCTTAATCAAAGACAGGAGGGTGCTAATTCATTACAGACTAAGCATCAAGCTTTAGCTTTATAAAGGAGACACTCTTAAGATACTACCTCACATTCAAAAATAAAAACCATACATCAGAAAGAAAATCTTCAGATGTGAATGAAATAACTCAAAAAGTACCATCTAGAACTACAATGCTTCCTCGCTTTATCTTAACGTGGCAGTTCATATAATGTTGAACCATTTGCTAGAAAATAAGCACCAAACTCCCCATACAAAGCAATTGGAAAATTAATCCAACAGCATAATCCCCTTTTTGGGCGATGGTAACTACACAGAGCAACTAAATTCCCCACTTCGCGTTTTCCTACTCCGCGGGAATGCAATATAATTTTAATTCTAATTACCCATCCCAAAAATGAAGACCTTTCTTATGCAATTCAATCTCAATTCTCATTACCACCGCAAACATCATCCGTAAAATGCAGAAACGAAGGTTTCTCAACTACCAACAAATGCTCACGCAGCAATGAAACACAAAACCCAAAAAGGTGAGAATAATGGTGTCCTAGAAACTGACCTTCGAGGGCCAAAGGTGACCTGAGGCAGAGAAACATAGGCCCTGTGTGGGTTGATCAATTCAGCATAGTTGGTACCGTTAGAGAGAGAATCAGAGGAATGGGGCAGAACCCATTTAGACGCAAAGGAGAGAGAAGATTCAGAAGGGGGACGAACAGCAGTAAGGGGGATAGAGTGACGAAGGATTTCGGGCAAAACATCGGCTTTCGCTTCAAATTCTTCAATGGAGTTAGGACCACAGTTGCGAGATTGAGGAAGTTTCTCAGCCAAACGCCCCACTGCTTGCTTGGATTCCTGCAAGAAACATGCAGCCTCTGTGCTCGCTAACCTCCCAGCTAGAAAACTCATATCGACTGTTATATGCAATAATGGAAACTGGTTTTCTCTCTCTCTTTACAAATCAATGAAGTTGGTGTCTCAGACACAGAGAGAGAGGAGGATTTAAAGGGGAAATACACAAGCAGATGCATTCGTGCTCCACAAGCCTACCGTTCGACTGCAGCAGTTTTTTTTTCTCTCTAGACTTACAAGAACTGTTCTCTCTCTCTCTCAGACTAAGAACAACGCTGTAATATACAAATACTAAATCAGGGAAAAGGAACATGTCAGGCACTAAATGCTGACCTCCTTCATAATCAAATGAGGAAATAACTTCTTGGCGCCCAAGTAACAGCAAGAAGATAAGATTTCCTTGGCTTGGAGCTTCACCTGAATTTCAATTTTATTAAAGACCCGGATTCTATGCGGCCAAGCCCGCATATGTAGAAATGCGGGCTTATTAATAAATCTATTTTAGAGTTGGATTTTTGGATGTGTAATCTCTAACATGGAAATCATGAATATGAAAAAAGTAAGTAAATTTTAAAAATTAGAAATAATAATTAAAAAAACATTTGGACCGTCGTTTCTGCTGGTTTTAGATGAAACATCTACTTGCATCCATCTTTAAGATGGATGCTTTACACTTTATGGACCGTGCATGTAGTCATGCTGTCGATCCCGCATGAAATAATTTTCTTTTTACTAATCAATGTAATGCACCACTTGGCCTCCTTGTGGCATGTGTATTACAATGAGAAACTATTTATATCTTTTGTATAAGGAGGACCAGACATTTTTAGCCGTTAGATTTGAAATCGAAAGGTTGAGAGTATGTGATTGATTAATCTTAAAGTTTATAAAAAAAATTCTGAACTCCGTGATATACTTTAAGTTGTCTGATTTGATATTTAATGGCTAGGATTAGTTACAACTCTTATTCTAAAGATAGATGATCTTATAGTATACAATCATTTTATTTAATACTAATACTTGTACAGATTTGTTTTGTCATATGCTCTTTTTACACTAGAGTATTAGATATTTTAGATAGAGTTTTATACTATGCTCTCTAGGGAGCATAGTATACTTTTACTCTCTTGATCAAAGACTTATTTGGGGGGTTTTTGCAATCTGAAAATTTGGGAATCAATTACGAATTATTGGATGATTATTCTCAAAAAAGGAAATTTGAAATTTACATTTTTAGCACTTATAACTCACCATGTAAAAATTAGATGGTCTTTTATTCAATCTCGAGGCATTAATTTTTTCAAGTGCATAGAGAGTACAATTAAGAAATCTTTTTTATTGATACTGAAGAGGTTATATTCCTTTTTTTTTTTTTTGGTATAAGGGATCCTAGAACTTATTCTAGGTGGCATTTTATTCGAGGGAATAAATGGACATTATACTCCTATGGGAGTATAATATCTTTTGGCCTTTAGAAATATGCTAAATATCACACTTGTGCGGGTAACTATAGAACGCTGCTTACAATCATATCTTTAATTGGGTATTAAATTTTTTTCATGCACACCATATAATGCCCTTTATCTATGCGGTATTATCATATTACTTGTCACTCCATTTCTCTCACTCATTTTGAATTAAAAAGTATTAATGACATTTTTTAAATTATCTCTCGACATTCTATAAAGTTTGATAAGATTTTGAAAAAATGATGATGATAAATTTCTGGCTATGAACTTATGTTTGCCTTTCATTCCAAATTCTTAGGTTCATAGGTTCTGGCTTAAGTTTTGAGAACCTATAGATTAGTTCTTCCTAAGATGGATTTCCCTAAGGTTTTTTTTTTAGTTGATGCTTCAATATTTTCAGAGCAAGCAAAATGCAGTAGAATCATGTACGAGCTGTCCAACTTCTTTGTTTTAGAAGTTCTTTCTAGCAATTTTGAAAATAGAGAGAGAATTTTTTAAACTAGAACTAAGTGCTTGGGCATACGATTTTAACAAAAAGACAAAGATTTTTTGAAATCTGACAAACACATAGGGGAAAACTTATTGAAAAGGGGGTGAATTTCGAAAAAATGGGTTGATAAGCAGTTTAGGTTCGTGCTACAATGGAGTTTTTTGTTTTCCCCCCCAAATATGATCTTGTCGAACCTTTGGGACCTTCAGGACGAAGAATCATCGAGTATTCTTCATCTTCCAATCTTGGCTCTTTTGTCACAACTCAAAAGAGAGTTTTTTGAAGTTTCAAGCAAACTAGTGTCTGGGATAATATGAGATATTCCCCCGAGTGCTCAAAATTTCTTTGGACTTCTAATTTTGTTCCTCCTCTTCTACTCCTTTGAAGTTCAGATAGTCGAGGCTCTTCAGGTTTAATTAGACTTATGCGTTCAATTTACTTTACTTATGACACCGTTAGGACTTGATAAGAGAATTTGATAAGATATTCTATAAGCTAGGAAGTTATTTTTTCTATCGCCCCTTGGTCCTTTTCGGGTGTTTAGCCCGGTGGCGTTAGCCTGAATTAAGGGTATTTGGCCTAGTTTTAGGCTAATGTAAATTGTACCAGGGGATTAAACCTCTAGAACTCTTTCGTTCCCAATAATATATATAAAAAACCTTTGTTTCTATGATATGGAATGCATGTGCAAATTTGGTCCCAAATGTGTTTGCTCTTTGGTTATTCATTTGGAGTCGTAATGTTTTCTTGAATATTTTGAATTAATGTGTCACATTTTTCGGAGCGACCATATGGGTCCTACGCCTTAATAAGTCTCTAACTGCCATGTATGCTCTGACTGTCAACAAGAGCTCCAGCAATTTGGGTTACACACTCCCAAGAATCTCCCAACTGTTCATTCGAATTGAAACTTGGTGAAGCAGTCCACATGCCCAATAAGGGCCCTCAACTGTCGAACCAAAACAAATGTCTGTTGGATGGGGTACCACACCTCCCTAATATGGCTCCCACAGGCATACCCAATTCAATCTTGATGATTGGGCATCACGCCCCCCTAATAGGGCTCCCATCACCAGACTTCCCCAAATCTTGTGGGTCATGGGAACTATTAGGTCAGTTTGAGAATGTGCAGTAAGATGCAATTTTCTAGAAAGGATGGAGTCCACGTTACATTTGTTATATTCCTTACTCTTTGGATTCAATTTACATCAAATATACTTAAAAATATTTAATTACATCTTAATTATATTTTAGATAGTAAAAATAAATTTTTAGGCCTCTCTAAATATTTTATTTTATTGAATATGATTTTAAAATAAAAAAAATTCTAGATTTACTTAATTCATGGAGGAAAATAAAATATTTAATGTATTTATAAAAAAAAATTTACTATTTTGACATATTATTTAAGGTTTGGGGCCTATTATGACTTTGAGCCTACCACATCTAAGCCCATTAGTGGGGGCGTGGGGCCCCACATGGCTATCCAGGTATTGGTGCCCCACTCCCTTGTCTTTCCTAATTTGTGTGACCTGTCTATTAAGCTACCTTCTTGATTGAAAAAAGTGTTATAAGGAGGATTTGGTTGATTTCAAATAATCATGTTGGGATTTATTAAAAATTGATTTGTAAAAATAAAATATTTTCTCGACACAATATTTAATGGCAATGCAATTATGAAAATTGAGGGATAATAGTTCCACCTCATTCATTTTAATCATGATGGCTGATGTAAAGAATGAATAGATGAGATCTCTTCACCCTATAGATCTCCATGATCAAATATCAAGATTGAATCTCATAATGATGGCGAAATCAACTCCAAAACCTAATCTATATTCTATATATACTCTCTATGGGGGCCTATTCTCTACCCACCTTAAATTCTCTCTTTATCTCTCTCTCAAGCTAGAGACAGCCAGGCAGCACTCCTCTCTCTATTTCTCTCTCAACTTCATTAGAGTTTAATTTGGTAGAGCCTAGAAACCCTAAGGGGTACACCCAAGCCACAATAGTGGCACAACATAGCCTATATGCATTGAGATATAATCGTGTTGTGCCTAGGTTAAAAGCCCTATCCCATGTTATGATCTTAAGAGTTTTTCGTAGGATTTCTAAGTTACGAATAAACCTAACTCACATGCATCATTGGTGGAGGAGACCCGATGTGGTGTATACAAAGTCTTTGGAGGTAATCTAAGGCAAGGTATGTAGTATGGTCTTATTTCTTGCTTTCTTGAATTTATTCAAAGTGTTAAGTAATTTTCAGATGTATGTTTTGAATAAGAATTTGTTTTGATGGCAAGCAAGTGAGAGTCATTAGCATTCTTTATGGTTTTATTGGTTTATATATTGTATTTGAACACTTGTAAGTGATCTGGGTGGTACAATAAAAAAAAGAGAGAAACAATTTAATTGGTATTTACTTGCTCGGGTCACATAGTCTTACTTTCACAAAGGAGGAATCTAAGTTTGAGGTAAATCGTGGAGTTTGTTTTCAAGCAGTAATTTAAGAACATTACTCATCGAATCCTTAAAATTAGTGAACTCTCCGGATGTAGTATCTTGAGTTTGATATGTATAAAAATGAGCCTTGTAACCCATCTCAGCTTCAACGACAGTCTCAAGATACCCAGAGATGGCGAACCCATCTTGGTTTCAACGACAGTCTCAAGCTGCTCAGAGATGACTTAACCCTTCTTAGTCTCAACGACAGTCTCAAGCTGTCTAGAGATGACTTAACCCATCTCATTCAACAAAAGTCTCGAACTACCCAATGATGGCTTAACCCATCGTCAACATCATTGTCAGGCAGTTAAAGCCTTAGAATTTTTATGGATCATACGGCATATTAGTTACCGCCAAAGGGGAATTATTTCTTCAGGAACAATGAATTCTCTAGTAAGATCAACACCGTTGAACTCTTGGCTCTTTGCTTTATCACCCTTAAAAGGTGTTACATGAATTGAGTTGAACAACATAAGTGGTTGCAGTTCACTGACGATGCTAATAAGTACCTAATTTTGCTCTTGCAAGATCATGAGTTTCGAAGATTTGAAATTCAAAGACAAGCATCAGTGATTGTATCTGTGAGAGCAACCTAGCAGTGAGATCGACAACGTGAAAAGATAAACACAAGAGGTAAAACAGCATTACGAAGATAAGGATTGCACCTTGCAAGATCTGTAATTCAAATGAGTTGATAAACTCATGATGAGGATGGAGGTGAAGATTCCAAGATGGGAAATGCATGCTTATCCCTTGAAAATCCATAATTAGCAGTATAAAAAGGGGTCTTCTCGATTGAAGAGGGGTCACACTTTTCCCTTAGGCATAGTCTAATAGAGATAAAGTGTTCTTCAGAGGTTTTGCCTCGGTAAGAACCAAGAGTAGAAAAGAGAGTGATA